TTTTTTTTTTTTTTGTCCTCCTTTGTTCTATTAAAAGAAAATCTTTACAGCACCAATTCAGTTTTTTTCCTTGCTGTTCTCTATCTGTTGCTGTTCCATGCCTTCACGTTTCAGATTGTCTGTCCTTGAAGTCTGACATTAACTACATGGCTACACCTAAATTCTTTTTTATTATTGCCGTTACAAGCCATTTTGATATGTGTTTTATGATCTGTTGTTGTTACAGATAAAAATGCTAAAATTTTAGAGCAAAAAAGAAAAAAAAAGGATTGGAGATGAAAGTATGTGAAGAAAGAAAGAAAAACCTTTATTCATATTAATACTTTCCTAGTATTTGGGCAGTATCAGTAATATGAAGAGAATTTTAATTTGACGTTCATTATGTTTATCGACTGTCCCACCCACTTTTTTTTTGTTTATTTCTAGTTTACCTTTTCTCTTTATTTTTCATCATCCACCCATTTTTTTCTATATCCAAAAAGAACCAGAAAAAATTGGAAATAAAAATAAGAATGAAGAAATAAATGGAGGGAAAAAAACCAAAAAAGCGACACCTCAAAAGGAGAATGAAAATAAGCAAGTGAACAGATTAGTTCATAGTTTATACTTTTACTGTTGTCTCTTTTTTTTTTGCTCAGCTTTTTTGTCAGCTAAAACGATTAGAGTAGCTTACTGAGTAATAAAAAATTAGTTTTTTTTCTGAATAGGTAACGGAGTCGCCTGCAAACAAAAGTTGTAGATGGAAATTTGGATGAAACGGATAAAAAGACCCATTTTGCTAACTGCTTTTATGTGTTTATCATCAAAAATTTTAAACTGTCAAAGAACAAATATATACATATATTTTTTTCACAAATTTACTGATTTTAATAAGGCAGTTTTATTTTTAATTCAAAAGTACGACAATAAAATTGTGTGAAAAGTAACAGAAAAAAAGAAGTTGACATTTGTATATTTTCAGTAAATTTACAATGAATTAACAGTGATCTGCAATCATAGTATTTAGTAAATTACATACTGATATGCATTAACTATACTTAAAAATGTTTACAATTGATAAATACGACATCAGCAGTTAATCTATTCATTTATAAGGTTAACGGTGTAGGATCAACGGTACAAATTAGTGAAAACTGATGTTTGCCAATCTTACCACTTCATAAAAGGACAGTCGACGACGATATTCACAACCAACCTATATTCCCCTTTTTTTTTCATCTCATTTCATGAGAAAAAGACAGCAGAAAAGTCGTTCAAAGATGACTTTTGTATTGTTTGATCATATTCTTCTCCAAGTTTGCCTGTCGTCTGATTTGTTCAAGTGTTTTTTTTTCCTGCTTGCAACTATACCTTCTGGTAAGATATTAGGACTTTAAGCACTTAATTTACTGTTGTCGGATATCAGTATGAAAGAGGAACGAAAATGTCGAAAATGTTGAAGTGGTTTTTTGAAGTGAAGGAGATACGGTGAGTATTCAGTGAAAGTTGTTAAAGCTGTTTCGCAAACAGTTTGTCAAAACTGTTCATTAGCAAAATTTTTGTAGCAAACTTTAGTAGAACTTTTTTTTACCAGTGCTGCCGCTGTTGCTTCACCTCTAGCTTTCTGCTACTAATGTTAATGCTGATGCTTATGCTAATGTAGCCACTTGAATTAGCCATAAAATGCTCTTTATGCTAGGTTCAGCAAACAGTTTTCACTTCTGTCACTAATCATAAGCTATATGACGAAATCAGTTCACCGATCTTCAGATTTCTCTATAGTTTTCCATACTTTTCATATTGCTATTACCACTTTAACAACAGTTATGCATTATTCCGTATTACAACATTCAGTTTGTCCTTATTCATTCTTTACTGCAATATTTTTCTACACCACCCTAAAATCTATACGCAAAATTTTGAGCCATTTCTTTTTTTATCGTTATCATGCTGTTATTATGTGCCAGGTGAGGTCAGTCAAAACAATTCTAAAATTTTATAGATGAAATATTTTTGTCAGCAAGAAATATTAACATATTATTAGTTGTTTTTACTGCTACCAGTGTAATATCTGTTCAGCACTAAAAATATCTTGTTTTAAAAGAAAAATAATACAGTCTAGTAAGTTTTTTCCTCATTTCTGACAACAATTTTTAGTACAAATGTTTATTGTAAAAGTGATATGTTTTGGAGTATAAATGTAAAATTTACCTATCAACTTTTTTTTGTTGCTTAGGAAGGAGACAATGAAGGGACGACAAATGTGAGATAGGAGCTGCATGCAGAATAGGTGTCAAAAAGTGGAAAGGTAGGAAGACAGTAGATGACGAATAAGGAAGTGTAAGGTTGCAGAGTTCTGGCTGAGATCAGACGACACCTTCAACTTGGATAGCAAAGAAAAAAATTTAAAAAAGAATAAAAAAACTAAGGAGAAGCAACAGAAAAGTAGTGGTTTACCTATTTTTTTACTCTAGTTTAATGGACTTAAATATTTTGAGCCATAAATTTGACAAATTTGTTTATGTTTATCTAAAACTGTGTTGCTGTAAATTTTCAAAAAGCAGAAACACAGAAACACACTGACACACAAAAATAAGCAAAAATGCACAGACATACAACCGGATAGAAATAAGCCAAAATAGATCTAAAATCTAAGAAGACATACAATTTATAGTTGGTGGAAAGCAAGGTCAGTTGAAGGATGAAAAAAAGTATACTAAATATTAGTAAAAACTTAGAACTGGTAGTTCTAATGATTAATGGAGGCTAACAACCTTTTTTGTTGCATAGTAAACAAATTAATGAGATTTATTGTTAATTAGCAGCAAAAATGCAGATTAGCTGATGCAGAGTTTGTTCTTATTACCTCTGCACACTGTCAGTTTAACCAACTTTTATTTTATCAAAAATTTGGCCATACGTTCTTCAGAAGCAAAAAAAAAAAGCCGTAATGAAAACGAGACGAGAGAAAAAAAAAAACAGATGACTTTTATTTTTCTTTAAAGCAAATGTATTTTTAGGTTTGAAAAATTGCTTCGAAGGCGTCATACTGATAGGTACCAAAAAAAATGTCGTTTCTTATTTTTTGTTCCTTACTGTGTTCCTTCTACGCTATCGCTTTTGCCACACCCAATTTCAATATTCACTTGTAAAGCTTTTCGTTTTCAATCATCATGTCAACATTTTCTATGAAGATTTTTTTATCTTCTTGTTTGTTTGTTTGTTTTTCCATACTTTGTCTCCATTCTGTGATAACGAAAACTGGTATATATATAAAAAAAAACACCTGTCGGAAAATAATGTGAATTGAATTCTTTCGGTCTTAGCTTACAGTAGAATTAAAGCTGATAATTACAATATTATTCATCCAGTAATTACATAAAAACTACTGGTTTTTCTTTGTCGTTATTATCAGATTACATCAGCTCGTTCTTTCGTAAAAATTTGTTTTTGCTGGAGATAATGAGAGGAAGGGTGGAGATAGGCAAGAGGGGTGGTTAAGGGTGGGGGAAGAAAGCGGAAAAAAGTACAAATACTCACCGATAAAACAAATACCATTAGCATTGCTGAAAAAAAACTGGTAAGCAGTAAAAGGTAATCCAAAAATTGTTTTAGTCAACAGCCAATAAATTTGTTTTCATAATAATTTTATTTTTTTTATGGGTATTTTTTTTTTAATTATAGAAAAGAGATGTTTTTTTCCTATTCTGTTTTTTCAAATACTGCTACTTCTACAGTTACTGGTTAAGAAATTTTCAAATATACTGACAACTAGACAAAAATTGTTCATTTTGACAGGAAATGGAAGAGCAGGTACACAGTAAAAAACCGATGAAAGAATTGGAAGACGGATATGTAAAATTGCCTTTTCCTCTCCATTTTAAAAACTACTTACTTTTTTTTTTTTGAAAATTTATGAAGACAAAAATGGAGAAGGCAAAGACGAAAACGACGAAGGAGAAGACGAAGAAGACGGAAATAAGACAATGTTTTCAAAACTTCATTCTTCGATGACTGACTAACTTTAACTAACAAATAGCGTTATCAGTGACTGCTTTGGTATTGATGGTACAGTTGCGTTGCTTGCGTTCCCAGAAAAGCCATCAAACGTCGACCACTGTCGTTGTTTTTGTTTCAGTGCGGATATATTTACGGTGTATATGGAGGTAGTGATCAGCGTTGTGCAACCACGACAGGGCTGCTCCTCCGAAGAAGCGTTCCGTTCCCTCTACGACTACGATGTTCTGTTGACCAACGAACCGTCGTCAACCAGTAGCCCCTCTAATCGCCACCAGTTCCCTCGTTTTCGTGTCGAAGCCAACGAAGATCCAACTGAAGTGGCTTATGCGGTAGCCAAACGACTACTTAGGTTTGTTTTTTGGTTTTTTTATTATTTTTGTCTTATAGCAGCGACAAAATTAAATAACAGCAGTGACAATAGTGTGTAAGGAAGGTTCATTGTAGTTGTTCTAACTTATTTGTTATATATGAAGACAGATATCTAGAGAGATATCTGGCAGTTGTTGTTACTGACCACGGTAATGCTCTGACATCAGCAATAGCAAAAAAAAATTTCTACACCAAATAATCCACTGCCATTTTTTTGCTTTCTTTGCAACGTGTTCATTTTTAACTTTTTTTTTTTCTATGCATATGTGAACTTTTCTATTAGAGAAGGTAATTTGACGAACTGTTTAAATTATTACAAGGTTTAAGAAGGTGATCGAAACACGCCAAAATTAGCTTGGCGAAGGGGAGGAATTCAAAGAAAGTCAACTGCATTCGATGTTAACAGTATAGAGACGCTACAGTAAATGTATGATCCTGGATAAAAATAGTGAAGTTTATCAAATTTAAGTGATGTACAGAAAATTGTCACTTAGAGTAAAATTATTTTGTTTAACTTTGTTATTACTTTATAAGCAACAGTTTATTTTAAATTTTTTTCGTTAAACATGTTGTTTTCTATTTTGCAAACGCTATTGAGATGTCTTCAAGTGAGCCATGTATCTAAGTACCAAAGAAGAAATTTTATTTTAAGATGCAGCTACGGTGAAAAGCAGAAAATTGGTGTTGTCAGTTTATTTCTATATCCGGACTTTGATTCAAGAGAAAAGAATAAGCCAGTATTACTCAGAATCAATTTGACTCAAAAATCGACAACGTAGGAATCTTTTGTTGGACATATGTTTCTGTAGTATTGTTCCTGTGTGTATGTACCTCTGGGTATAATTTTTTAGTTTAGATTTCGGCACTTTATTGTAGTTGGTCGGCGTAGGTTAAAAAATTGTTTGACTGGGCAAATGTGTAATACAAGTTTCATTCTGTTTTTCCGGATTTATAGACCAAAAACGGCCTTGAAAAGCATTGGTAAAGTAAGTTGCTGAGGTTGAGTAGTATC